AAAAAAAAAAAAAAAAAAAAAGAATCAGATTGGTTTTCAAAAGGCAATTCTGGTAGAAGATATATACAGATATAGATAGGTATGTAGGTTCTGGTAGGAGAGGGAGAGAGAGAGAGAGAGAGAGAAGCAATTCTGGTGGAAGATATATATAGATATCAGTAGGCAGGTAGGTAGGTAGATAGATTTTTTTTTTTTTTTTAAGTGGGAGATGGAAGGGTCTAGAAGAATGAGATAGTCACTCAGGAATATAAATGAGGAACCAAAACAGGGCAGCAGCAGTAAGATGGGAAAGGTAGGGGAGAGATTTGCTGGAGTTTTGGAACAAATCCCTGATCCCGGTTACCAAGGTAAAGAAGCAGGCGAGGGGGAGATTTGGTCAGGTGGTGGACAGGGCCACGGTGGGGGGCTGGGAGCCAAGAGATTAGAGGAGGCAGTAAGAAGGAGAAGGTGGTAAATTTTATTTGAATTATACTATAAGTTGGTGACTCCAAATCCAGTTATTCAGCAAATACATGAGCCTCTATTACAGAAGAAACAGTACAGCCTATAAAAGACACAAAAATGAGTAAGGATAGTCCTTAAACTATCCTTTAAGTAGCTTACAATGTATGAGGGAGAAAAAGTGATGACAAGACTTTCTCCACAGAGGATAGTTTGTGAGGAAAAAAGCCTTATGAATCACAGCATAGGATTTCAAGATGGTGGAGGGGCCTCTGTTTGCCTGTGGATGGCGGATGGCACGCTTACCAGGAAGGGCTTCTGGCAAGAAGTGACCACTCATGTGGGCCTCAGAGGTCGGTAGGACTTATAATACTTAAGATGCACGAGAACTTAGAACTTGGGGTGAGTCTATATATAGAAAAGCAGAAAGACACCAGACTTCAGGATGAACAATGATCGCAATAGAGAATATTTTCTGGATAGTTACTACATTGCCCTTAACCCTGGTGATTAGCTTTTATATTTCAGGTTACTTCTTAGCCAAGTTACGCCTATTTCTCCAAGTTTCTCCAAGAAACTAAAATGCCTTAGCAGAGCGTGTAGTGGCTCTAGCTGCCTGGTTCAGTCTAGTGCTACCATTTACCAGCTGGATGATTTAACCTCCATGTGCCCTAAATTCCACATCTGTAAAATGAGGATAATAATAGTACCTTCTTCAGAGGGTTATTTGGAAAAGTATATGAGCAACATATAGGCACATTGCCTGGCTGATAGCATTAACATCAGATATTCTTTTTAATAAGGTGAGGGTTGGGGGAGATGAGGCAGCATCTACTTTTCCCAGGTCCTCCTTGCTCATGGTAACTGTTACCCACAACCTGCAGAAAAAACGATGTCCAACCTCAGGGAAGATAAATGTCTAATTCCTATTTGTTTTTGCTTGGCTTTCTCAGGGTCTTTCCAGCACCCAGGCTGCTGCGCTCCTGGCTCAGAATGGTCCCAATGCCCTCACCCCTCCCAAAGAAACACCGGAGATCATCAAGTTTCTCAAGCAGATGGTGGGGGGGTTCTCCATCCTTCTGTGGGTAGGAGCCATCCTGTGCTGGATTGCATATGGGATCCAGTACTCCATGAATAAGTCCTCATCCCTAGACAATGTAAGGGGGTCTCCTTCCAGGGTTTGCTAAGCTAGTAATGGGAAAACAGTCATAAAGAAAGGCCGTTAGTAGGCAGAGTAGTGGCCTGGAATCAGGAGTCTATACTGATCACTCACCGTGCAGGTTTGGGAAAATCGAGAATTTTACCAGCTATAAAATAGAATTGTAGCTGGCTTTCTGATGTCTCAGGGGCAGCATGAGCATGAATTTTAAAGAGAGGGGGGCTCTATAAGTGTCTAAGGGAAAAAATATTATATCCATATGAAATATTTTGGGGTTCTCTCTCCTCATAGCTAACTGTCTCCCTTTAACATGGGGAACATCTACGCCTACTGATAGCTGAGTACCAAAACCAAAAAATTCTGTTGATCTGAAACGTCTAGAACAGGTGCATCCTAGAGACAGAAAGCAGATCAGTGGTTGCCAGGGCGGGGGTGGGAGTGGGCAATGACTGCCAGTGGGTACTGGTAGTCATGTTGGGGTCATGGAAATGTTCTAAAACTGGATTGTGGGCATTGTTGCAAAACTGTGTAAATTCATTAAAAATCAGAGTTGTGCACGTTAAGTGGATAAATCGTGTGGCCTAAAAATGCCACCAGAATACTACTGCTCTCCCATGGAGAGCTCTCGTCCCAGGACCTGACTCACTCCTGATGCCTGTGCTGATCGATGCTTCCCCTCCTTTCCCAGGTGTACTTGGGCTGCGTGCTTGCCTTGGTTGTTATTTTAACGGGGGTCTTCGCTTACTACCAAGAGGCAAAGAGCACCAACATCATGGCCACCTTCAACAAGATGATCCCGCAGGTGGGTAGCAGCCATCCTTCTCTGGTCTCCGCATGACCCCAGATGAGGAAGCATCAGTGAGGAGGAGCGTAGGGCCTCAGACAGAGAGCCTGTGCTCCACCGTTTGCTGTCTGAGAAATCTTCAGCAATCCCTCTGACGCCCCACTTCCCACAGAGTTTTAGATGATCAGGGAAGTAGGACACAGGAAAATGCTTAGTCGAAGTCATCACGTGACATCTCCTGTTACTGCTCATGAGCTTTGGTGGACTGTTCAAACAAAAGTAATTCAGGGGCTTGCAAGAGCGAGCTGCAGACGTTCAGCAGTGTTCCCTTGTAGCCAAAGAGGTCAGCCTGCGATTCTTCAGCTGTAACCATTTCTGCACCCTCTGGAGCCTCCCTGCACACTGCCCCAAACTGCTCTCAGTGAGGGAGGCCCGCTGCTCCTGTATTCCCACAGGAGCCCATGTTGGTGTCCTCTAGGGAGACCACACACCCTGCCCACACAGTGGGAAAGCCACGCTGCCCTGGCCCACAGAACTGCCAGCTGGAGAGCGTTCTGGATGGAATCGTCTAAGAAGTGGGAGATCTGCCTCCCCCGCCATTAAAGTTTTCCTCACCTGAGCAAGATTGTTAAACCTTTGACTCAGCCTTCAGGGCCCTCCCTGCACATCCCAGCCAAGATCACTCAATCTTAATTGTCCCTCTTTCTGTCATGCCCAGGGCTGTCACTTGGTTATATCTGCCCACAGCAGCATATCCTGGTTCCAAGAACATCTCTAAGAGTTCCTCCTCAAGAAAATAGAGATCTTCGTATATTCGTTCCCCCAAGTACAAGCCTTTTGTTTCATTTTTGCCATTCTGAGAGCTGTGGTTGTAGGACCTCGGTTCCTGAGATGCAGGAAGGTGCAGATGGAGGACAATTGGCGTCATGCCAGGACCTGGGTCCTCTGCCACTGTTTTCTTTTGCAGCAAGCTCTTGTCATTCGAGATTCAGAGAAGAAGACAGTCCCTGCAGAGCAACTAGTGGTGGGGGACATAGTGGAGATTAAGGGAGGAGACCGGATCCCTGCAGACATCAGGTTGTTGTCTGTTCAGGGCTGTAAGGTAAGCATCACAGGGCACCCCGACGATCACACTCACAACTAGCTACCATTCTGCTGTCTTTCCAGCTCTCAGTGTAACTGGGCCAGGAAGAGGATGCCTAGTCTTGAACTTTTTTCAAAATTTCTTCTAGGTAGATAATTCATCTCTCACTGGGGAATCTGAGCCCCAGGCCCGCTCCTCCGAGTTTACCCATGACAACGCCCTGGAAACAAAGAACATCGGCTTCTATTCTACAACCTGCCTGGAGGGTAAGTCCATCTGGCTCTCAGGACCACATGCCCCACCCATATCACTTTTCCCCCTTGGGTTTTATGCTTTTGTCTCTTTACCACCTCTTGCTACAAAGCTTTTCCAAGAGAAAACAAGGAGCTGAAAAGCTCAGAGAACTTTGTAATGTCGTGTGCTGACTGATCGTGTAAGCCAGCAGAGAGAGGACTGTGAGCAGGCTGCGGTCCCCTCATGCTGAGGACCCTAGAATAAAATGTCTACCTCACCTGTAGGCACAGCGAGTGGCATGGTCATCAACACGGGCGACCGCACCGTCATTGGTCAGATTGCCTCACTGGCTTCAGGAGTTGGAAATGAGAAGACACCCATTGCCATTGAGATCGAGCACTTTGTTCATATTGTGGGAGGAGTGGCCATCTCCATTGGCATCCTTTTCTTCATCATCGCAGTGTCCCTGAAGTATCACGTCCTGGACTCCATCATCTTCCTCATTGGCATCATTGTGGCCAATGTGCCCGAGGGTCTCCTGGCCACTGTCACTGTGAGTCCATGCTGCAAGGTGGCCTGTCCCCTGACCCTGTTGACACATAGCATCCTGCTGTGCTGTGTGAGCACCCACCATGCTCTGCGAGTCTCCTCCATCTGCAGAGCCACACTCCCTCCCTGTCCGAGACACCATGAGACATTCTGAATAGACTGTTTCTTAGAGAGACAAAAGGAATTGTGATATTGTTAACATTTGAATGCAGTGTCCTAGAAAACTTTATGTTTTCCTTTTCAGGCGATCTATCTGCAAATTGCATATATTATCTTTCTCCTTAAGATCTAGATAAGACAAACTCAAACTACCGCTTACAGATTTTCAGGAAGCCTGGTGCCTTCTCTCTACATTTTCACATTTCTTAAAAAGAAAAAAGAATCCCTGCCAATTTCTATAACTGAGGAACTTAGGCACATTGTTTACCTCCTAGGTTTAATAAAAGGATTGTGGCATATAGGTCTTTATGTGGTTTATCAGCTACTGGGTCAGCTTTGCTGCATCTGTAACTATACCTCTGTTCTGAAATTAGTTCAGCTCCAGCTGCTTCCATGTTATAGAGCCTAAGTTCAAAATGATGATTTTTCTCAAAGCTTCTCTCTCTCTCTCTTTCTCTCTCTCTCTCTCTCTCGTTCAGGTGACTCTGTCACTGACAGCTAAACGGATGGCCAAGAAGAACTGCCTGGTGAAGAACCTGGAGGCAGTGGAGACCCTTGGCTCCACCTCTATCATTTGCTCAGACAAGACTGGGACTCTGACCCAGAACAGGATGACCGTGGCCCATCTGTGGTTCGACAATCAGATCTTCATAGCTGACACCAGTGAAGACCATTCAAGTAAGTCTTCTGGAACATTCGGTGTGGCCTGAAGCTGTGGACTTGAGCAGAGGAGGCCAAGTGGAATGTGGTTGCAGTCTCGGAGAATTGTTTGAATAGCATGGATATCAGGCCTAGCACCCACAGTATCCACTGTTTTGTTTTCTAGACCAAGTCTTTGATCAAAGCTCTGGAACCTGGGCCTCCTTATCAAAGATAATAACATTGTGTAACAGAGCTGAGTTCAGACCGGGACAGGAAAATGTTCCCATCATGAAGGTAAAGCTTCAACATCACTCAGTCTTAAATCACAGCCAGTTTGAAGTCACTTTCTCCATTCTGATTTGGTGCTTGATTTAAATCTCTCCAACCGTGTAAAGTTTGTACTAGTAAGACCAAGTCTGACTCACAAGACCTGTAGAAAAATTTCTTCACTCTAAGTAGCTTTGAGAAATCACAGCAATGTCTCAACATCCTCAGAACATTGATTTGGTCTTCTGAAAATTCTGTCTCATTCCTGAAAATGAATGTGCCTTTAAGGTACCATCTTTAAGTAGATGTAATTAAAGTTTATTTATTATATAAATACCATTCACTGAAGTTTAGAGGATAATTGGATGGAAATAGAAGGACTGACCTTAGAACATATTCCTCTTGGCAGAAGATGGGGTTCTCAGGGGCCCTGAATGTTGGAATATACAAAACGAGCTTCTCTCTCCCCCTCCTTCCTTCCCTTCCCCCTCTCTCCTCTCCCCTTCTGCTTTTCCCTCTCAGTGAGTTGATCTGACTTGTTTGTTTGCCATCTGTTTCCTTCATTGACTTTTGTTTTTTCTTATGCTTTTTATTTGGTTGGTTTTCTTTCTCCACCAGACAGCTCATCAATTCTCTTCTTGGCCAATCACTTCTCTGTCCGTATCTTTCCAATCCTCATCTCCAATTCTGATTTCTCACCCAAACTCCATGGACTTCCAGTTAGCTGTGTGTTTCCATTCAAAAGTTTTGCCATGTTAGACTCTCAACAAATTATACTTGTTACCTTCCACATGTGCCCAACCTGACTCTAAATCACACTCTTGTCCCAAATTTCCTATGACATAACTATTTTACTTGTCATTCAGGTCAAAACTTTTGGAAGTCATCTTTAACTTTCTTCGTTCCTAATATCTAGTGAATCACCAAGGCCTATTATTCTTGCTTCAAAAATATCTATAATTTTACATTTCTATTGTCACTAGTATCTTGCATTTAATTAATTATACCAACCTCTTAATTAGCCCCCATGATTCCAGTTTATCCCTTCTCCAAGTCTTTCTTGCTCTGTTTTGAACTCCCCTAATGCCAGTAGGCAGCACCATTCAGTTTAACACTTTTTCCACGGCTAATTGTGGTGTAATCATTTGTTAGATGGAAAGCTTAACTAGGCTCTATGCTGGCTCATGAAATGTAATCACAAAAGAACCAAATTGTGTGCTACAAATATTTGTTATCTCTTAATTCTCAGAGAGTTGTTGTTGGAGATGCCTCAGAAACTGCTCTTTTGAAGTTCTCAGAGGTCATTTTGGGTGATGTGATGGAAATTAGAAAAAGAAACCACAAAGTAGCTGAAATCCCTTTTAACTCAACCAACAAATTTCAGGTGAGTTTTTCCTCACAACTGAATCTTTGTCATTACTAGAATAGCATTTCTACCTGTAAGTATCTTTTGGTTAGTATATATTGTGGATGATATTTGAATTCAAAAATAGCCCTCAGGGATGCAGGGCTTGGGCATCCAGTAAGCCCAGAACAGGTTTCCCTTGCCAGCCTCTTTCCTTTACTGGAAAGTAGGTAGAGAAGACAGAAAAGTGGAGATCTTGTCAAGGCCTGGCTGTTCCTGTGAATGATTTATGTTATACACACACACACACACACACACACACACACACACACACACACTTCCATCTGGCCCACCCCTACCCCCACCAGGTAACTTTTGCACAAGTGAGGGGCAAAAGCCACATCCCAAAGGATAAATGAAAGGTGAGGGAATGGCGATAAGTAAAATTTACTGCGCCCTTAGTTTATGTCCAGCACTTTACATACATTCTCAGTTAATCCTCACAATAAACCTGAAGTTGGGCTAATTAATCTCCATTTCTAGGTGAGAAAACAGGCCCTTAGAAAATGTTGATATAGGAAGAATGAGCAAACGAAAGAAAGAAAGAAAGAAAGAAAGAAAGAAAGAAAGAAAGAAAGAGGAAGGGAGGAAGAAAAAAAACAAAGAAAGAAAAGAAAAAGAAAATATGTCAATGCTTGCAGAGTTACCCAAGCATTTGAGTGGCACAGCCAATTTTCACACATCTCTTAAACTCCCAAGGCCATGTTTTTTCTACCACAACACAAAGGCAGAACAGTTTAGTTCGGGCCATGTGAGTAAGCCTTGCCTTTTGTGAAGACCAATGAACAGTCTTCTCAGATGACTATTACCAGCCATGTTGATTTCTAATTCTGCCCCATAAGCAGTTGACAGGGATCTCCTTTCTACCCATTGCTCAGGAAGAAAATGGCCATCCTTTCCTAGCTGTGTTCCCTCATTCTAGGCTGGCCAATAACCAACTAGCTCCATCATCCTCATGGTGGGGCAAATGACAATATGTAGCCCAGTTACTGCTGCAAGTGGGACTTCCCATAGACTCCAAAGCTGAGAGCAGGGCGTCATGACTTGGTCTTTGTATAACAGGAAAGTATATAAATAAGAAAACCATGTCAGTGTAAACGTTTCTGGTATTTACCTACACATTTTGTTTGGATAGCGTTTACAATTGGGAAATAACTGTGTTGCAAACCTCTTTGTGAATAACAAGCCAATGAAGAATTGTAGTTAGCCAAATAGATCACTAAAAAATATATGAAGTAAAATACTAAAGCCAGGAAGTTAGATCTCTTACTCAGAACATTGAAAATAGAATGAGTAACAATCCTAAAATAACAATAGTAATGATAGGTATTATATACTAATTTCTACATGCATTGAATCACATAACTCTATAAGGTAGGGAATGAGGAAACTGAGATACAGAGCATTATCACACAGCTAGTAAGGGCCAGAGCCAGGATTCAGACAGACCCAAGGGAGTTCATGCTCTTAAGGTGTAGATTGAATGTCTTCTAATTCAGGAGCAAGACTCAGAATCCTACCGGGGCTCCCATCTACTCCAGTAAAGACTTTCCTAACCATGTAAGAAATGAGAAAAAACAGGTTCCATGAGGCCTCATGTACTAAATGTTGAGGGAGAAAGTGGGGGAACTACCCAGAGTTGGAAGTAGAAAGGAGGTCCTATGTGGACTCCCGCAGAAGAGGTCAAAGAACCTCTTTGGGTGCTGTTAGTGCCATTTGATATCTACACGTGAGCAACACTCAACCCCAAGCAAAGAGCCTTAGATGTCATGACCGTGGAAAGGTATCTGGGGTATCATTCAACCAAAGGAAATAAAGTAGAATATCTATGTCTTATTGATTTAAAATAGCAATTTCCCAAATTGAGACTGGTCCATAAAAATATTTCCAATGGTTTATGGCAAACTGGTGAAAATTACAACAATATTTTATAAAGTTTTATATAAAGATGAATGTATTTAATTTAAAAGATTATCCTTTATATGCTGCCTGATTAAGGCAGGGACTCTAGTAGCCTGAATTCAAATCCCAGTTCAACCGACTATTAGGGTGTGACCTTGCACATGCCACTTAACCTCTCTGCACCTCAGTTTCCTCCCTTGTAAAAGGTGGTAATTATCGTGCCCACAGCCTTAGGGTAGTTTTGAGAATTAAATGAGTCAATTTGTGAAGCACTTAGAACAGTACACACTACAAAATTGTTTGTTATTACCCCTTTTGTTTTCAAAGTTTATTTATTGATTTTGAGAGAAAGAGCATGTGTGAGTGGGGGTGGGGAAGAGAGAGAGAGAGAGAGAGAGAGAGAGGGAATCTCAAGCAGGTTCTGGCTGTCAGCACTGAGCCTGCTCAGGGCTTCATCTCACAAACCGTGATATCATGACCTGAACTGAAATCAAGAGTCTCTGCTTGGGGCGCCTGGGTGGCTTAGTCGGTTAAGCGTCCGACTTTCACTTAGGTCATGATCTCGCGGTTCGTGGGTTCGAGCCCCGCGTCGGGCTCTGTGCTGACTGCCAGCTCAGAGCCTGGAGCTGTTTCAGAGTCTGTGACTCCCTCTCTCTCTGACCCTCCCCTGCTCACGCTGTCTCTCTCTCTCTCTCCCCTAGAAATAAATAAAACATTAAAAAAAAAAAAAAAGAGTCTCTGCTTAACCGGCTGAGCCACCTCATACCCCTATTATTCCTACTTTTTAAGTGTTAAAATACCCTATCTTTCAGAAAATGATAGTGGTAATAAATGGGAGGTTTTAGTTTGGCTTTGGGTTTGGTTTTGGTTAGTTGGTTTTTTTAATATGTTTACTTGCTCATTATAAAAACAACCTTATATTTGCCCCCTACTTTCTTTCTTTTTTAATGTTTTATTTATTTCAGAAAGAGAGAGAGACAGCGTGAGCAGGGGAGGGTCAGAGAGAGAGGGAGACACAGAATCTGAGCACAGGCTCCAGGCTTCTGAGCTGTCAGCACAGAGCCCGACACGGGGCTTGAACCCATGAACTGTGAGATTGTGACCTGAGCCATAGTCAGACGCTTAACCGACTGAGCCACACAGGCGCCCCTCTACTTTCTTTTTTTATTGTGCCCCTCTCTGATATGCAGACGGCTAAGAACTACTGATTTAGAATTAATGATTAGACCCAAAATGGCAGATTTTTTTTAGTAACTTACTTATTCTCTTTCAAACACTCCAGCTTACTGAGTTTCCTTTCAAAAGTTTAGAAGAGTACTTGCTTTATATTAACAGCTTACATAAGACTTAGCCATTTTATGATCGTTTATAAGTTTTTTCAGATTTCTTCTGATGATCTTATTAGGATGAATCTGGAAGTAGAATGAGTAGGTGAGAGGATGTTGATGTTAAAATTGTGGTACCTACTACTTACCTCCTGAAAGCCTGTGAGAGTGCCCACTTCCTCCACCCCTAGCATCATCCTTCATGTCCAGGCAGTAAAACTGGATTGGTTTGGAGATGAAGGAATTCCCACTCCCCGTACCCCTGCCTGAGCTCAGAATAGCTTGGGTATGAAAGGCTGCTGCTCACAATAAGGAGGTAGAGACAGGGGGTGGGACAAGGTGGCCAAGGTCCTCTGACCCCCACAGACATCCCAGGAGATCTGGTTCAAGACAGAGACTTCATGGGCTAACAGCGACATCTGGCCTGCCTAAAACAACCAGTTTCTTTTTGAAAGACCAGCTCCACTTAGTGTGGATTCAAACTCAGGGTGCCCCTCTGAGCTGGGACCAAGTCTAGATCTCTGTGTATTATTTGACCACAAAATTTAAAAAGGGTAGAACATACCTATAGCGAATACTCCTTTTTTTGTCAAGGATAAGTACCCAGTGAGAGAAAGGATGTCTTTAATCTTCTTGTCATGTTGCTAATTAAGAGATCTGTCCACTCCAGGCCCTTATTAGTAAAGATAGCATCATTATTCAATGGCAGGCTGTACCTGATATGCTCAATTCCTTCCTTCCCAGCTCTCCATACACAAGACAGATGACCCCAATGACAAGCGCTTCCTCATGGTGATGAAAGGAGCCCCTGAGAGGATCTTAGAGAAGTGCAGCACCATCGTGGTCAATGGCCAGGAGCAGCCTCTGGACGAGAGCACAGCTGAGGCCTTCCACACCGCGTACATGGAGCTGGGAGGTCTGGGGGAGCGTGTGCTAGGTGAGCTCTTGGGAGCAGAACCCTTGTCCGTCACTGTTGGGTGTGAGGCTCTATGCCAGGTCAGGGCACAGGAGGAGACAGGCTTATTGTCCAGCAGAGTAGCTGTGGCACCTACATGAACCATAGAAAGAACATGGCAAACAAACATGTATGAGAATACTGTATGATAGTACTGAGGGGGGTGAGGTTGCTTCCGGATAAGGGAAATCTGGGAAGATTTTATGGAAGGAGTTGCATTTTAAACTCAGCCTTGCATGACAGTATTTGAAGGGAGGTGGCGAAAAGTCACAGGAGAGGGAACAACAGAGGCGAAAGCGCGGTTAAAATGGATGTGTCTGTGCACGCGTTGTGCGTGAGCCAGTGTGTTGATCGTCGCAGGTGAGTGAGATGACATAGTCCCAGGACATGGGCTGGAAAGACTGATTGGAGGGCATGATATGGAGTGCCTTACGTGGGTGAGGAACTGGGCTTTCATTTCACAGCCAGGGAGAGCCACTAAACGCTTTGCAGCAAGTGAACTGATCAGAATTACAGTGTTTTCTAGAGGATAATCCTTGGCAGCAGCAGGGAGAAGAGAGGTTGCTCAGGAGGAGGTTTCTCCCTCATTCAGGTGAAAGAGGGCGGGAATTTGATCCGAGGCAATAGGAATGTTCAGGAGGGTCAGACACAAGAGACTTCGCAACGAGTTAGAGGAGAAAATTAAGTTTAAAATAATGTTGAAGTGTCTCACTTGCTTATTAGGGAGAAAATACTGCCAGTTACAGAGGCAGGGGATGTTAGAGGCGGAAGGAACCACAGACATAACAGCCACTGGGGCAGGAGCCTACTGGTGGTAACTTAAGTGGCATAGTAGGGTACGTTCTTCATGAGAATCCTGGGTTGATGGAATGTCACCTGTACACCACAGAATATGAATTTAAGGTAACAGAAGTTCACGGTTGATGATAAGGCTCATTGAACATCATAAAATTTCTTGCCAATAGAGATGGAATCTGTGGAATGTGTGTTTCTAAAGGATATTTGAGCTTGTAAAGCAAATGAAGTAATTAAATGAGATAATAATGCTTTAAGCATGCCTTAAATAACCCACGGCACCAGGTAGTGTTTTCAATGCCAGTTTGATACCTATCTGACCAGAGTCACTCTAGGAACCTTGTGTTTGACCTCTCAAACTCTGTGCTTTACTAAAACGTGTAAGGCAAGGGGGCATGCTGAAAATACATTTGGTGTAAAAGCTGATGAGAAAGTCACACGACCTTGGACGTCCCACCAGACACAGGAATCTTTTCTGCTTCAGCTCATGAGAGGCAGATGCCTTCTGAGTAACGAAAGGGTCTCCATTCCGAATGGCCTTTCTCTCACACTCACCTTGATTAGAGATGGAGCTTCATACCATTCTCCTGACACCCCAGGTTCTTTCCCCAGTTTGTGCGGTGGCACATGCTGTTTCTCTGCCTAAAATGGCCTTCTTGTCCCCAAATCTCCCTTCTCTCCCTGGAAAACATCTAACTCCTCTTTCAGGAATCAGCTCACTTGTGACCTACTTGGGGAAGGCTTTCCTGATTCCGCAGGTGACTCTACTCTGTAACACTCACTCTACTGTTTTATGCTTTATCTCTTTATGTCTCTGTCTCCACACTAAACTGAGGTATCTTCACAAGCAGAGGCTGACCCTCTTGGTTTCTTTTTTTTTTTTTTTTTTAAATGTTTTATTTATTTCTGAGAGAGAGAGAGAGAGAGAGAGCAAGAGCAGAGGAGGGTCAGAGAGAGAGGGAGACACAGAATCTGAAACAGGCTCCAGGCTCTGAGCTGGCAGTCAGCACAGAGCCCGATGTGGGGCTCGAACCCACGAACCGTGAGATCATGACCTGAGCCGAAGTCAGATGCTTAACCGACTGAGCCACTCAGGCGCCCTGACCCTCTTGGTTTCTATATCCCTAGAACCTAACAGAGAATCCAGTGGGCACGCAGTAAATTACTTTTGAATGAAATATGTCCTTCCTAATTACAGCATGAGTTATAGAATTGAAAGAATGAAACAATTCTGGTATCCACTCAAGTATTAGTAACATAGTAAAAGTGTATGAAAATGTTCTTCTTTTCCTTTTATTGTTTCTTATCCTAATTTCACTGACTCTCAAATTCATGTGCATTCCAGGTTTCTGTCATCTCTATCTGCCAGCAGACGAGTTTCCAGAATCTTATTCATTTGATGTGGACGCCATGAACTTTCCCACGTCCAACTTGTGCTTTGTGGGGCTCTTATCAATGATTGATCCCCCCCGGTCCACTGTCCCTGATGCAGTCACCAAATGCCGGAGTGCAGGGATCAAGGTGGGAGTTACTGTCCTGACTTAAGAAGTCCTCCCTTCGTGTTGCATACTTCTCTAAGAGTGTTTGTCATAGGAGGTAGTCAGTGTTCAAGTCTCAGGTAAATATCCCCACCCCCTTTGTGTCTCTACTGTCACTCTACTAAGATTCTAGTCACTGTCCAATAAAGGTAAAATGATTGTGTGTATGTGGAACCACAATAGTAACTGCAGTGAGAAAGCCATGAATTGACTATATCTTTCTTGCCCTATACTATGATAGACCATAAAAGGTTTTATTACTTAGTCTGTAGGTTCAGCCTCCAAAATCCATTTGTCTTCATGGTATCAGAAACCAAATGTTAATTCCATTGCCATGTTAATAACAGGAGTGTTGAAGCAACATGAGGCAGTCTCAGGTAGATATCCACCAGCCCTTTCACAAATAAAGTAACTAAAGTAACTGTTTCACAAGTAAAGTAAATAAAGGTCTTCCTCTAATGTCAGACGAGGAAATGTAAGAAGATCAGAAGCAAGGATAGATCCAAGAGATCAGTGTGTTCTTCAGACAGTTTTGTCTTTGATCTGAAGAACAAGAACTAGCCATAAGGGCAAACCACAATAATCACTAATCACATTCTACCAAGTCATGGTAGAATGGGTGATGTTGAACTTTCCCTAGTCTCGCCATCTGAGTTTCTCATTATTCACATGCCTTTCTCATTGTGTTTTAGGTTATTATGGTTACAGGTGATCATCCAATCACAGCCAAAGCTATTGCCAAAAGTGTGGGTATTATTTCAGCCAACAGTGAGACAGTGGAAGATATTGCAAAACGCCTCCACATTGCTGTGGAGCAAGTTAACAAACGGTAAGCACAGAACCAATGTAGCAGAAACATTCTTATTCAAGGTCTTATCCTTGTTGGCTCTAAAGAGCTCTGCTATTTGGAGCAAATCCCCTTTTTGCCAGACATTCTCTCAGGATAATGCTAGGCTGTATTAGTACCATGAAAATGACCCATTATGTACTCCCTGTATGAAATTTAAAAAACCTGATGGAGTAGATTGGAAAACTCCAGTGCCAAATTTAGAGTGAGAAAAACTGAAACAAAATTTATATGAAATTACTTGCTGTTGATCCAGTTGTTTAATCAGGACTATTAAGACCCCTCTGTGTTTGGTGCACTCCCCTAGGGCTCATTTTGAGTATTTATTCACTTACTTTATAATGTGAGGCTATGTGAACACACACCTCTTTTCTTTTTTTATTTGACAGTAAATAGAATGAAAGCTTCCTGAGGAAAGATTCGGTTTTCCCTGTGTCTCCTAATTCTTGTAATCATGTCCATCCTTCAGTCCACTCTTCCATCCATTCACTCACGTATTAACTTTCAACAACTAATTGTTGAGTGCCAGCAAGTACCAGGCACTGTGCTAGACACTGGGACTGCAGCAGCCAAGAGTCTAGACACTATCCCTGCCCTTGGGGAGCTTTCCGTCTAGGCAGAGGGACAGAAAAATAAGAACAAATGGTGACGTGATAAGGACAGTGAAGGAGACACACAGGGGACAAGGGTACTAGCGAGGGAAGAGAGTCACCTGGACTGTTGATAATTCAAGTGATCAAAGGCTCCAAAGTCTTAGTGTAAAAATAATGTCATTGGCTTTATTTCACACATGTCAGGGGAAAGGGAGAGACCAACGAACCTCCTCTAGTTAACCCAAGCATTTATGCCTTTTAGAATCCCACGCTGTCAGGTAACAAGTTATTACCTGGGCAACAAAATACCAGTTAAGACAACCCAACAGAATCATAGCCTCCGGGCACAACAGTATCTGAAGTCTCAGTATCTTCCAGTGCTCTTTTGTATAAACAACATTCATCTACAAAAACTTTTTGGAGCTTTTGTTTGTTTGTTTTGTTTTTAAAAGTAATAGCATTACACATTTTCATGCAACTCACTACACTGAATAGGAGATGGGATGGATACTTGGGTGCATATTTTCAGTTACTCACTTTATCAACTGTAGCTTCGTAATCAGATAATAATTATACTTTTCAGCTGTGAGGAAAAAGGACACGCCCTTTTCTTATCTTACTTTTATATATATATATATATATATATATATACATATATATATATATATATTTTTTTTTTACCAGAACATAGAAACACGGGTATTTTGAGTCAAGTGCTAGAACTCTAGTATTTAACACCGACAGAAAAACACAGACCTAAAAATGCTCAAAACACACAAATGTAAAGAAAAAGGCATACAGTGTTTCTTACATAGAATGTATAAGCTAAGATTTGAAGGCGAAAATGTGGAGTGTTAGCCAGGGAAGCTGAGGTGAGAGAAGCCCATTCCCGGCAAAGGCAGAAGGATCTGTGAAGGCCTGAGGGCAGTGGAGGCTGTGCAGGTATGGAGGGCTGGAGCTGGGAGGTCCAGCGGGCTGCAGGGGAGAGCCAGCCAGAGGGGAGGTGACGCGAGACAGCACAGGCTGCGCCTGGCCTTGCAGACCAGGCTAGGGACTCAGGGGTCTGGTCTAAGTGCAGTGGAAAGCCTCTGATATGTTTTTAGCATGGAACACTGCAATCAGATCTGTGTAATTGATTATACTTTCTAGAACCTTACTTTAATTGGCAGCAGATAGTAGTTGTCCTCAAAGAAGACCTCAATAAATTGTTCTCCCTACAGAGCTCATTACAAAGTAGACACTATAAATCTGAAATAAACAACAAAGAATTGTTACCCTTGTGTTTCAGAAAAAGCTGAATTCTAGGACTCAAAACATGCGAACAGGAAGTTACACTGCCCCAGGAATGTTTCCACCCATTCTTACAGGCAAAAGGCTTATTCCTATTGTTGTGTGATACCAGGAAATGGCCTTAGTTTTTAGCCTCAGTTTACTGTCTTGAAATGGAGACCAAAGTGTCCCTAGAACTCATAATCCCTATCATCCTGCTAGATAGAGTATTAGGCGTCAAGGACATTGGATTCCAGGAAAAAGTCAAAGAGGCTTTGGCTCACTGCCTGCCCAGAACAGTGTTTTAGTCTAAGATCCAACCTTCGGCCTCACTCAGTTCCTTCTGGCCCTTCTAGGGAGGCTAAAGCTGCGGTGGTGACTGGCACAGAGCTGAAGGACATGAGCCCAGAACAGCTGGACGAGCTCTTAACCAACTACTCAGAGATTGTCTTTGCGCGGACGTCCCCCCAGCAGAAGCTGATCATCGTAGAGGGCTGTCAAAGGCAGGTGGGTGGACAGCAGTTCCCAAAGAACCTCCCAGGTCTGTCACTGTCCCGTGGGGAAATTCAGGGCGGAGATTTGGATCCCAGATCATTGCCTATGGCACTTTTTAAACCTCTCAAGAAACCGTCCTCTGCCCGTCTTCATCGCCTTACATTTCCACCCTCTCAGGGGGCTGACTCTCCACCCTTCTTTGAGACCCTCCTGCATACACGGCTTTCTGACAGTGAAGTGTTTGGTGCTGTGGTAGGTGTGGCTATAGAAGGATGTGAAAGTGTAAGCTATAGAACAAAAACTAAGACAAAAGATAAGAAATACTCACTTTAGCCTGCCACACACAGGGTTTTAATTATCGAACACATTGTTCTTGCTCCAGGACTTCCCTACTTTATCTTTTCCCCAAAACAGGCCCTTCATTTCACCTCCAGCCATCCTTACATCCTTCAGAGGAAGGGGAGACTGTGTGGCTCTTGCCTTAACCATGACCCCTTAGACCTGCTGACTCCTGTTTTCTCATGTGTCTCATGTTTCTCAGAATGCGGTTGTTGCTGTGACAGGGGATGGAGTTAATGACTCTCCGGCTCTAAAGAAGGCAGATATTGGGATTGCCATGGGGATAGCAGGTTCCGATGCAGCCAAAAATGCAGCTGACATGGTCTTGTTGGATGACAACTTTGCATCCATAGTCACAGGAGTGGAGGAAGGTGAGTGAAGTCTCCAGTGATCTCACTGAGACGGGGGGCACCTGTGGGACCAAAAGCAAATGCTACGGGAAGAACGTCTTTGCCTAGGTCGCCTGATCTTCGACAACCTAAAGAAGACTATCGCATATACCCTGACCAAGAACATTGCTGAGCTGTGCCCGTTTCTGATTTACATCATTGTGGGGCTCCCCCTGCCCATTGGCACCATTACTATCTTGTTCATCGACTTGGGCACAGACATAGTAAGTAGCACTAAAGGGAATGGGATCTGATAACTAATGTAAACTTCAGGGTCATTACCTTCACGGGCAAGGAAATGGACTAAATCAATGCTCCTCATTCAATGCAATGGGGCCTGAAGTTCTGCATTTCTAACATTTCTTAAGTGACCGATTCTGCTGGTCCCCCAGCCACATCTCAAAGCAAAGTACTAGAGCGATCTGTCAAATGTTTGGAAGTTAAAACCGCTTCACTCCGTGTTAGAGCTTTTCTTTTCTTTTAAATGTTTTATTTATTTTTGAGAGAGAGAGAGAGAGAGAGCGAGCGAGCGAGCATGAGCAGAGGACAGACAGAGAGAGAGGGAGACACAGGATCTGAAGCAGCCTCCAGGCTCTGAGCTGTCCGCACAGAGCCAGACGTGGTGCTCGAACCCACAAACCATGAGATCATGACCTGAGCCAAAGTCGGAGCTTAACGGACTGAGCCACCCAGGTGCCCCTAGAGCTTTTCAAGACATGATTCTTCACCCCCCCCCAAATATGCCGTTCATTAGTTTTAGCTCACGTGCTTCCCTCCCCTTCAGAGAAGAAAGCAGTATCACTAAATAGCCCCCGTAACGCTGTGGGCCCAATGGCCAATGTGGTAATCCACAACTGCCCCTTGTTAAGTAAAAGAATCTGATCTGGAAGCCCCTCACCTAAACACAGTAACAGCTAGCAGCTATTAATACTTTATCCGGCCTCATATTGACCTACAATGACATCACCTCCCTTCTTCTAGTATGCACGCATTTAAGAAAGCATCATGACAGTTGTCCACATGGCTCACACAGGCAAAGGGGGCAAGGGGAATAAGGAGCGGGCAGAATGCAGGGAGAATGGCCCTGCAAATGGCCGGATTCTACCCTCTTGTTTTAATGCGATCCCCAGGCAGTCTCCACATTGCGGAGACACTAAAGCTATCTTTACCTGAGTAGGGAATTGGGGTCCTCATGGTTTGCAGTCAGATCATTTTCCAGGCTCTTTCAGTTTGCTTCTTTTCCTCCGCTGCAGTGCTTCTTGGTCCCGGCATCACCTGGGAAATTATTAGAAATGCAGATTCCCTGGCCCCAGCCCAGGCCTTGGGAAAGTCTGGAGGTGGGGGGTGGGCCCCAGCAATCTGTCCTTAAAAGACCTTCCAGGTGGGAGGGCCTGCGAGAGAACCAATCTGATCCAGTGGCATGCTGAAGGTAGGAAAGATCTGCCTCAGAGGGGAAGATGTTTTATAACCAGCATGCTAGCACATGTTGATAATAAAAGCAGATAGATTTTTAAAGCCAACCGTTTTTAAAAAATTTTTTTTTTATTTTTGAGAGAGAGAGAGACAGAGCGAGAGCACCAAAGTGTGAGCTGGGGAGGCCAGAGAGAGAAAAGAGAGACATAGAATCTGAAGCAGGCTCCAGGCTCTGTCAGCACAGAGCCCGACGCGGCGCTTGAACTCAGGAGCCATGAGATCATGACCTGAGCCAAAGTCGGACACTTAACCAACTGAGCCACTTAGATGCCCCAAAGCCAACTGTTTTTAAATTCCCCAGAGACAGTGCACCCCCATTGGCCACACCCTGGATAACCCCATAACCCCACCACAACTACCATCCACTGCCCCACCACCCACCCTGAAGCCCCCTGGCTATGCCACCACCGCTGTCGCTCTGTTGGCACAGCACAGGGTTACAGGGCTAGGCCTCACAGACTCTCTCCCCACCTAGATTCCCTCTATTGCCCTGGCTTATGAGAAAGCTGAAAGTGACATCATGAACAGGAAGCCTCGCCACAAGAAGAAGGACAGGCTGGTGAACCAGCAACTTGCCATATACTCTTACTTGCACATCGGTACGTGAGAGCACCTCTCACCTGTCCTATGCGGGACCACCCAGAGAACCCATTCCAGTCACAGGCAGAAACCGTTTGTCCTTCTGGGGTGGGGTTGGGACGAGAGGAGAAACCAAGAAGAGAACGAGCACACAGGCAATTGTGAGGTCATTCTAGAACCTCTACCCTTAACCTCTTTTGTGCTCGCAGGCCTCATGCAAGCCGTGGGAGCTTTTGTTGTGTATCTCACTGTGTATGCGCAGGAGGGCTTCACACCCAGCATTCTCACTAACCTCCGGGTGGCATGGGAAAATGGCAACGTGAACGACTTAGAAGACAGCTATGGGCAGCAATGGGTAAGGGAAGGAGGCTCTGCCTTCAACACCCTCCCGCCCGCTTCCCTCCTCCTCTCACTGCCTCGTTCGGACTGATGCAGAACTTTCAGTCCCTGGACAGCCTTAATGAGACAGAGAAGGAAAATCTGTCTCAGCTAGTAGGGCTAGTAGGCCCTTGCCGGGACTCCGCCACGCCTCTCGAATTACAAGCCTTTAGCTCACGTTCCTAACTTTGGCTTTGCAATTGGTATTGAAGAGTAACCACTCCAGCACCACCTGCAGTTGGGCCAGATCAATTAAATTAGCATCTTTCCCTACTCAACTGGTTAAAGAAAACAAAGTTTCTTTCCAAACACAAGGAGATGATCCTCTGTCAATCTTGGTAAGGTGGGGAGAAAGTAGAGCTTTACAGAACTGCATGGAAACCTCCCTGAAGTTTTCCACCTGGGGTCTCACGGTCTCCTCTTTGCCCATTGACAGACATGGTACCAGAGGAAATACTTAGAATGGACGGGCTACACAGCTTTCTTTGTCGGCATCATGGTCCAGCAGATAGCGGATCTGCTCATCAGGAAAACCAGGAGGAATTCCATCTTCCGGCAGGGTCTCTTCAGGTACTTCCCACATCCAACCCCTTAGTTCACCTCTGAGCCTTTTACACAGGAATGATGACTGTTGTGCCTATAACACGTGAGCCCTCGACTCCACAGGGGTTTGTGGCCCTGTGGCCATGTGAATTCAGAATCTGTTTGCTTTGATGTTTCTTGTAGAAATAAAGTCATCTGGCTGGGGATTGCCTCACAGATTATCATTGCTTTAATCCTCTCCTATGGGCTTGGAAGTGTCACAGCCCTGAATTTCACGATGCTCCGGTGAGTTCCCCTTCAACCGTGGACAGGAAAGAGCCAGCCCTGTTATTTTTTTTTTAATGTTTATTTATTTTTGAGAGAGAAAAAAGTGAGTGGAGAGTGGCAGAGAGAGAGGAAGAAGGGAATCTGAATCGCGCTCTTGCTGACAGCAGAAAGCCCAAGGTGGGGCTCAAACTTACAAACCATGAGATCATGACCTGAGCCGAAATCGGACGCTTAATTAACCCAAGTGCCCCAGACACGGCCACGTAAACATTAGGATTCCAGGGAGTTCTTTCTCTTCCAGGCTTTCGAAAGAAAGAAAACTGAATCAGTTCTATATTCGAGACTTAGACCTGCTAGTTTTCCCAGAAGAGAAAATGAACAAGAAGCCCTGCCCATGGGCAGGAGGCTGGGCCCTTTCTTTGGATGCACTCAGACTTACTTTCCTGACTTCTGCTTCCAGGCCTCAGTACTGGTTTGTGGCTGTGCCATATGCCATTCTGATTTGGGTGTATGATGAGGTGCGAAAACTTTTCATCAGACTCTACCCTGGGAGTAAGTAGTAACATGATTTTTGAGACTCTGTTTATCTGCTTCAACAGACTCTCCATTTCTCATTAACCTTTTCTACCTCTACAGGCTGGTGGGACAAGAACATGTATTATTAAGGCCACCTTACTTCCCAGGATTCCCAGCTGCACACTGAGGATGTTCTTCATCTTCCGGCTGCTGTCTGGGCTGCTGTCTGGGAGACCGCTGCACTAAGGACTCATCAAAATGCAAAAGAGAAGGCAGCAAACAGTATGAAAGATTCTCACTGAGGTTTTGTACTTTCAAGCAGAAATTCAACTGTTTATATATGATTTGCATCTCTATATCCATCTCCTTGTTTAAGAATATGTGAATTTCAAGTGACTGGAGTAGGGAAGAATGACGTGTTTGCAGGTATATAAAGTTCACTCCTGTGAAATAGTCTGAGGTACTGCAGTAGCTACTCAGATTTCCCTGCTTGACAAGATTGCTCAGACCTGGATCCCACACCCAGTGAAAAGTCCAGTGACCTTCCTAGATGCCTGTGAATTCTCAAGAGCTTATAATTTCATAGCCCCCCTGCTCTAAAGTTAACTCAGCTGAAGGACTGCACAAGGCGGAAGTAATGGCAGATGTGCAGCACAGCCGCATGGACAACCTCGGTTTTGACCCTGAGACTTCCTTCTTGACAGTCCGCCACCCGGTGCAGCTCTGCCCCCCCCCCCCCCCCCCCCCCCCCCCCCCCCGCCCATCGCCGCGGCTCTGCTCCCCTGACCCTCATCGCTGCGGCTCTGCCCCCCCGACCCTCATCACCTGGCCAGTCCTCATGGTGCCCTCCCTCCCTCACCCCCTCGTTGCCTTCCACTCCTACAACCAACTGACCAACGGACCGACTCCTCCCAAACTGAGCTCGATGTCCATTTCACACATCCCAGCTCCAAATGCCCTCTTGACTCAAAGAGTTTTCAGTTACCAGGATTCAACCCCAATAGAGAAGCTTTGGGGTTTAAAACAGCGATATTTCTCGTAAAATGGTTGGAAAGCATTCTCTGGCACTGATTTTATGTCATGCTTTCACTTCACTTTATTCCTGTGTGACACATACATCCATGTTGAGAGCCCCTAAGAGGCTTCATTTTTAAGTAAAAGATGTTTATAAAATCTGGTCTAATTGTGGTATTTTAATCAATTTGAGTTTTTCTAGAATGCAGAGCCTGGGGAACCAAAAAATGAGATGTGATTCCAAATTGTTTTTTCTTCTTTCAGTCATTTTGCTTTTCTATGGCAGGTCTAAAATACAGGATTTACCTTCTGAACTCCCCTCAGCAACACCCCCGTTCTATATCCCGAGTCTCTGATGTGCCCACATTATGAAGTCAGGATTTCGGGGGGAGGATATACCTTTCATCGGCGCCCTAGGGAAAGCAATTTTCACAGCACTGACTTGACAGAACCTGAAAATTGCATGTGGTTAAACTTTCCCATCCCCTGGCCTACCCCATCTCCTCTCCTCCATCGCTCATTGAGACCGGATCGTCTGCTGCTGACGGCTCTAGGTGGTATCTCTGGAACAGGAAGAGGGAGACACAGAGCCCAGGTTCTCTGCCGTTTCCTCAGGGGTCACACTGAGAAGCGTAAAAGGGGTCAGGAGCCACCACTGTACCTTGATGTAACTAGATTATAATGTACAGTGAATATTGTGTGTGTATATGCAAGTGAAAATCGTATTGCTGCCCTGTGTTTTTAGCCACAATTATCACTGGGCTAATCTCACATCAGTAGTAGCGGTGAACTGGAAACCCTTCCAGGCAGCGACACCATGACCTTCTCATTCCAGTCTTGACAAGGCAGCCACTGCTTTCTAAACTCTAACTAAGAATAGTTTGTCCTCACTCCGCTTCCTGCCAGGCTGTCTGGGTGCTCCTGGCTGCGACGGCTGGCAGCGCGTGGCCCTGCCAGAGCAATCCAGGAAAGGCTGTAAAAGCTCTGAGGGATTTCACTTGACGTTGAAGTAAGCTTGAAAGCAGTAACATATGAAATGGATGTCTCTTCACAGCAGGGGGCCTGTCTGGAATTACTTTCATATTGTACATACCTACTCTTGCAAAAAGTTGACCCTCAAATATTTGTATAATAAACACATAACTAATTTAAGGAATCCCAGAAATGAGAGTCATATATCAAGTAGCTTTCTTAAATTGTGGACAGAATAAGGCAACAAAATCCCATATCAGAGGTTGTTTGTTGTTGTTGTTGTTGTTTGGAGGGACTATTTCATTAGCCCACTACGTAGGCCTACATACATTTTTTTTTTAATGTTTTATTTATTTCTGAGAGAGAAACAGCATGAGCGGGGGAGGGGCAGAGAGAGAGGGAGACACAGAATCTGAAGCAGGCTCCAGGCTCTGAGCTGTCAGCACAGAGCCCGACGTGGGGCTCGAACCCACGAACTGTGAGATCATGGCCTGAGCCGAAGTCGGATGCTTAACTGACTGAGCCACCCAGGCGCCCCCTAGATACATTTTAGAATAAATCACAAAGTTAACTTTAATTGGTGTGGTACACTCACAGTAACTCAGATATATAAAGATGACGTTGGACTTAATTGAGTCTTTATTTTTTTTTTTTAATAATCTATGTTTTATTCTGATTGTAAAATTGCGGCTCATTTTAGGTGACATGAATATCCAAGAGTGAAAAGAAAATTAAAATCATCCTGACTCTAACCACCTAGTAATATACTACCTAGTAGCTATTTCGTTGGGGTTTTTCTATAAATATGTATTTATTTTCTGGCAAAATTGAAATACGAAGTTTTTCATTCTGCATTTTTACTTGCCATTGAAGATGTGGGGTGTTTTTGATCTTTTTTTAAAATTTATTTTTGAGAGAGAGAGAGAGAGACCAAGAAACAGAGAGAGAGAGAGACCGAGAGAGAGAGAGAGAGAGAGAGAGACCGAGAGAGAGAGAGACCGAGAGAGAGGGGAACAGAGGTTCTGAGCTGGGCTCTATGCTTACAGCAGACAGCCCAATGTGGGGCTAGAACTCATGAACTGTGAGATCATGACCCGAGCTGACGCTGGACAATTAACCAGCTGAGTCACCCAGGCACCCCTGAAGACATATTTCTTAATGACTATGCAATATTCCATATTGAGAGTGCTTTAATCATATCCCCGTTGTGAGGTGATTTCTTTCTTTTTTTTTTTTTTAATGTTTTATTTATTTCTAGGAGAGAGGGAGAGAGAGAGAGACAGTGTGAGCAGGGGAGGGTCAGAGAGAGAGGGAGTCACAGACTGAAACATGCTCCAGGCTCTGAGCTGGCAGTCAGCACAGAGCCCGACGCGGGGCTCGAACCCACAAACCGCGAGATCACGACCTAAGCGAAAGTCGGATGCTTAACCGACTAAGCCACCCAGGCGCCCCATGAGGTGATTTATTTCAAACTATTCATCTTTTTTTTCAAAGGCTGTATCTTGTCATTAAATCTTGTACTACATCTCTGATTATTTTATATTTTTAATTTTTTTAAATGTTTATTTATTTTTGAGAGAGACAGAGACAGAACACGAGCAGAGGAGGGGCAGAGAGAGAGGGAGACACAGAATGTGAAGCAGGCTCCAGGCTCTGAGCTATCAGCACAGATCTCGATGTGGGGGTCGAACCCACGAGCCATGAGATCGTGACCTGAGCCGAAGTCAGATGCTTAAGTGACTGGGCCACCCAGGCGCCCCTCTCTGATTATTTTATAATTGATTTCTCAAAATGGAGTGGAAGCAAAATAGAGCATGTTTAAGGTTCTTGATACACATTACCAAGTTTATTTTCAGATAAGCTGTCTCAATTTACATTCCTGCCAGCAATAATAAAGTGGATATTTATTTCACCTATCATTGAGATGGGAAAGATCTGTCAACTGTGAGAGATCTTTATTCAGTCACCAAGGTTGTATAGAGAGCCCGCCGTGCAGTCTGAGCTCCAGCAGCGAACAAGACAGGATCATGTAGCTGGTGCTCCAGTGGAGCGGCAGAAAACCGTAATTGCAAAGGGGTTTTAAAAGATGTAACGAGGCTTAGATAGTAAAGTGTAGGATAGGGAGGTGTGGTAAGCCTACTTTAAGTGGGGTGGTCAGGAAAGTCCTTTTTGAGGAGGTAAGTGACAAGGAGCGGCCACTGTGAAGAGCAGAGAGAATTCTGGAAGGGGGGGGCACAGTGAGCTGTGGGCAGCAGGGACGTGCACAGGATCAGGACGTCGGGTTCATCAGGCAGTTGGCGACATAGGCAGGAAGCTGTTCGTGGAGGGTCTCACAGTCCCTGTGAGGGAGGTTAGATTTCACTACAAGTACAACGTCACACTAGTGAAGCTTATTACAGGCAGTGATTTGTTCCAGTTTACATGTTACAATCACTTTGGCTTCAGCACAGAAGACAGGAGGGACCAGGAAAGAATGGATGCAAAGAGGTGAGTTAGGCAAGTAACGCTATGACTTAGAGTACGCAGGCGGTAACAGGTATGCGAACAGCGTGTGAAGTGCACTTGGCTCTTGTGAGTGTGTATGTACCTTTAACTATACTAACACTTCCATGGAAGAGTTTTGTAAGGGAAGTTACCTGTACATGATGCAAGTCAGGCCACTAGAAAGGTCACCAACTTACCTGACTGACTCCATGATCATCAAGATGAGGGAAAGAAAAAATACTGAGGCAAGGATCTTCTTCCTAGGAGACTTCCTAAATAGAACTAGATATACATCTAAATGTACATATGAGGGGCCCCTGGGTGACTCAGTCAATTGAGCGTCCGACTCTGTCTCTGTCTCTATCTCTCTCTCAAAATAAACTTAAAAAAAAGGGAGGGGTACCTGGGTGACTCAGTGGGTTAAGTGTCTGACTTTGGCTGAGGTCATGATCTCACAGTTTGTGAGTTCAAGTCCCATGTTGGGCTCTGTGCTGACAGCTCAGAGCCTGGAGCTGCTTCATTTTCTGTGTCTCCCTCTCTCTCTGCCCTCCCCTGCTGGCACTCTGTGTCTCTCTCTCAAAAATAAATAGACATTAAAAAATTTTTTAAATAAAAATAAATGTACATATGCTAGGTGCTCCTGACTCTACAGTTATAAAGAGCATAAAGTCCCCACATTCATTCATTCTGCCATCATCATTCTACTTGTGGAGTTT